GTGTCAATCAATGTACGCAATGAAAGTAGTTTGAAAATTCATTTGAAGTGAAAGTGCTTAAAGCAGTTTGAGTCTCAGTTGGAGTGTAAGTACTGGAAGAGGCTGATGTCAGCGGTGTGTGTTAGTTGAAGTGAATAGCGGTAAAAAGCAGCTGAAGTGTCAATTAAAGCATACACACTAAAAGTCAGTTGAAGTGTGAGCACTGAATGGAGTTGAAGTGTCAGCTGAAGTGTACACAATCAAAAGAGTTCTACTTTATCTTCATCTATATCTATTTACTGTATGTAACATGTCCATGAATGCATGATGATATATAATTACTTGAGAAGTCAGTCAAAAAAATTATATAGTTAAGTAAATTCCAATCTCTAAGAGAAAAAAGTGTAGTAGAGGTTTCAGTGGACTTACCTTTGACGTTGACCCCGTATATCTCACTGTACTCTACTGAATCATTGACATCAATGATGGAAGCAATGTGGAAGACAATCGATGCACCTCGACAGGTTTTTCTCAAAAAATCACTGTCTCTGATGTCCCCCTCGAACACACTTAGCTTTGTGTCGCCCCTACAGTCTGAAGAAAAAACTCTCATCGATTAACACAGTATAAGGCTTGGTTATTATATGAAGTAACAATGTCTACAGTATTTTCTTGTATATTTTATCTTTAAATAGATTTATTGCTGCTGTCACATGAAATGCTGTAAAGCAGTCAGCAATAATACAAAACAGCCTTAGAGTGGACTTTAACTGTGTTTAGAGTTTATCTAATGGACTGAACATAAACCCAGTGGTTTCATAATTTCTTTAATTTATTTTCAATTTATTTCCCAAGGCTATTATTTTAGTTGATGTAATAATCAATCGTTTTTACATCATCAGTCAATAATTGCTGCCTAATTTGGCAGGGAAACTCTCGAAGAATAGATTTTAAATCTCAGTGAGGCTCCCCTGATTAAAATAAGTTAAAATAGAAATAAAACAAATGAAAATGACTGATATTACAAAGTATTACCATGATATGAGTGTTATTTCATTACAGATAGATAGATAGATAGATAATAGATAGATAGATAGATAGATATGATAGTAGAAAGTATGGATAGGATAGCCGTTATGTTGTCCCAACCAGTGAAATCCAATGTTAAGCACAAAGTGGATAGAGAAAAAACAGTATATAAAAACAGCTAAAGAGTAGGGAAATAATAAAACACTATGTCCAAGAGAAAAAACACTTTTTATAAAACATATTATATATTATATTATATATTATAAAAATAGTTTCATAATATTAGGAGTAAATACTACTAGATTCAGATTTATACTTTACTATCAATGTTTTTTTTAATGTAAAATGGATGTATAGTACAGCCCACTATGGAGACACTCTTCTGTCTGTACTTTTAATATATTTCCTATTTTATCTGAAAGAGATTGTGTGCTACAGAGAGAAAAAAGATATAGAAATGATGTAGGTAGACAGATTTTACCCTCCAGTGTGTGTAAAAGTTGGGGTTGTACATGTTTGTCCAGCAGTCGAATCTCAGCCATTTTCTCTTCCTCCAGCAGCAGCCTCAACAGCCTCTTTCCCAGGAATCCACAGGCTCCCGTCACCACGCACACATCACCTCTCAGAGACATCGCAGGTTAATTCTCTCTTGGTATGAGGACAAAACAGATACTGCAATTTCTCTTCCAATGGACCTTTTGAAGAGCCTTCGCAAAAAGAAAAAAAGAATGTAACTTTTGTTTGTGGGTGTTTCGAGTTCTGTCTGCAGGAGAGAAACTGCACCTTCTGCCCTCCCTGCCTCAGCTGCTCCACTTTTTGTAAACCCAAAAACCTTACTTAAAAAAAACCTAATTATTTAGTTCAGTGTGAAAAAAGGGGATGGGCTCTGCTACTTCAGGGTGGAATGTGATGCTTTCTGGAGCTAGACAAAATGGGGGCTAGAACGTTTTATATGCCAAGGACAGCTGCTGTTTTTGTAATTGGGAATAGCCCCGTTAAAGTGGGTGCTCAGCATGTGATGCAGACAAAAACATAATAGGGGCTGAAGACACCTTCTTTATGAAATGAATGATTCCCGAAGATGAAATAATAACAAAATAATACTGATACAGTACTGTACTGTAGGAGTCACTGAGATCTTTGATTTGAGACAGTAACAATAAATAAAAGTAGCTCCATTCAGAGTGTTATATTATCATTATATGACTGCAAATTAATGCTAATTTTAACAACTTTATAGTATATTCTGTTGGGTAGTTTTGCCATTTGAAGCAAATTGTCTCTTATTGCTTAAGCCTGCACACTGTGGAGTGTTTCATCTCTTGAACAAACTCTTTATGCTCTATGTAACATTGCTGATTCCATTTTATTTATTTTAAAAACGTGTTGTCTACAACAGCTGAAGACAGAAGGAGACAGTGGCTTTGAAGTGCAGTGATGTGACCCCACATTGTCAGACCCATTTTACTGCTTCGTTTAGAGGAACAGTTTTACAGAGTTCCTTTGAAAGGAAAGATGAGTAGATCAGATCTGTACTCCAGTACATTAATTAAACTGACAAAGGTACAAGGCTGCATTAGCCAAATAAAACATGTCAAGGTGACATCTGTCTGCCAGATGGTCAAATATGTTTTCACTCTCACAGTGATGAATTATAGTTGGCCCTGGTTTGCTCACTGGGTCAAATGGCCGTGTGGTGGAAACTGTGAGTGTTGCAGGGGTTTTACCCGTAACCTTTTGTTTATGAGCATTCTCTATAACCAGTATAATCATATTCACAAACATCCAAAATAACATTCAGTCCTCGTCTTTTCAAAACATTCTGTCTCTTGATGTTGAGCCACAGTACGTTTCTATGTTGATGATTTGCTTTTTTTGAATGAGCAATTAAATTAGGTTGTGCCTCTTGGTCTCAAGATATGTCATTTGCATCTTTTCTAAAACAAATAGAACTGGTTTTATAATTTCAATAATATTTTAGCCATCACATACTCATGTATAGCTGTCTGTTTTTCTGTATTTGTAGTCCTTGGAATAGCAGTTGATATCACAGCTGTCTGCTGTCTTATCTAGAGGTGAAGGATGAAGTCCCAAGGGTAGTTTTAACGTCACTTACTTGCATCAGATGTATACCGAAGAGTCTGTGTATGTTCATGTGTGTGTACGGGAGCCTTCATTAGCAATAAATAATGTGATTCTGTAACATGAGGATCATAATCAACATTTTATTTTTATCTTTAAACACTGCATATCAATATAAATATACAAAACATAACAAGTCAAACATTTCTTTTTCTCGCAGTGACAGTGACTGAATGAGCTTGTGTTATGGCGGCAACGTACAACAGTTAAATCTAGAAGCTTCTTGCTGTTTGTTCTTAATTACTTTTTAATGAATCAGCATCAAACAGGGACTCAGTTGATCTCTCTTTGCTAAGGCTTTATGGGAGGCATTGTTATTTTGCTTTATATTCATATTTTATGCAATTATTATGGTTCCTTGTCTTTAACTAAACAGTAACACTATTGTATAGTACATATATTTCTGTTGGATCTCTGCTCTGAATGTTTTTTTTTTAGTTTTAATGTGAAAATGTGACTTTCTGTGTTAGTTACAGATGGACAGCGAGTTCCAATGGAATTTCCAAATCATAATAAAGACGTGTTGTCTTTGTAGCCACAGTCTAGCTTTCATCTTATGACTCTGTGACTCCATTATCAATAAAACCATACAAATGAGCCACATCCGGACCTCTGACACATTTCTTCATCCTTGATTATGACACAGAGGATTCAGTTCATTTCTCTCAGCTTGTGAGTCACATACTCGCACTAGCTACTAAATGCCAGGATGTAGCTACACAGACAGTGTTTGTTAGCAGGATAAAGTCATCATTGTTTTTGGTCTATTTGTGAGATTACTAAATAATAATGAAAAGATACAAATAATGCCAGATTCTAAAGTCTAAAGCTACCTTTAAAAATGCCTCTGTTTTTTTCATTTATTTCAGTAAAGAAATGGATTTGCTTTCTGATATGTTTGCTTCAGAGGACATTTTACTCTAACTTTGACCTGTGAAACAGTGACACTCAATTATCAATGAATCAATGTCCAGCCTGAGAGTGAGGGTGGGTTTGACTTTTTTCATTAAGGACGTATTGAGTGTTTCCTTGAACTGAAAGTGCAGAATGAGAGAACACAAGCAGCAGAGCATGAGGGAGGCTGCAGAAATGTTAATGTGAGGACATAAAATGCTACTAAAGGCATGTTCGATAAAAAGGTGTTTACTTTTCAAACAGCTGAATGCTAATAACAGCTAGCTAGCCATGCTTGCACCTGCAGCTTGTGTTTGCAACCCACACTATTTCCTGTTTTGCCACAACATGCAGGCAATTTTTATCATGCCAATTCTGGTCTGACAGTAGCAACAGTTGGAAACCCCCCTGTCTGTGGTGCACTATCAGCTCTTAGCTGTGGGCAGGGGACACTCCTGTATCTGAGCCTCATCCACTGACCCCTCCGGCAGATGAACTGTCATTGTACAGGCGCGAATTCCCCCCAGAGGCTCCAGCACGTTGAACACCCTGTCCCACACGTCCTGCTCCGGATCATACCGCTGCACAATGTCAACCATGCATCTGCTGTTCCAGGAATACCCTCCCACCACGTAGATCTGCCCGTTAAACACTGTCACACCAACGTCGCTCTGACCCCGAGGCATTGGCGACACCACTGTCCACTGGTCCGTCTCTGGGCTGTAGTATTCGCAGCCCAGGACGTCGTCGTAGTCGCTGCTGCCTCTGAAGTGATTCCCACCCATGACGTAGAGTCTGTCTCCCACAGTGCACATGCAGTGCAGGCCGCGGAGCTCCATCATGTCGGCTCTTCGACTCCATGTGTCATCGACAGGATTGTAACACCAAAGCTCCTTCTGGAACGTGTCACGGGTGATGCCACCTATGTGACAAAAGAAAACCAAACATGTTAAAATATTGCCCCATAAAAGATCTTAAAATGTGTTTAATTGAAAATAGTAGATATGGGAGAATCTGCTAAAAAGTAATAATGGGAACCATGGGCCAAAATTGTTCAAATCAACTTGACAAGGAGATTTTGACTATGGCCACAGTAGCTTCTTCAAACTTCTCTGCTTTTGCTGTTTCTGGCTTTATTGCTGAAACATGTATTAGACTAAAATAGCCTAGTCATTGGAAAAGGAAGCGTGGGGGTGGATAAAAGAAAAGCGAACTTTAAGACGATCCATCCAGGCAGACCGGCTGGGTGGGACCAGCTCCACTACAGTGGGTGCTGTCACTCCATAAAGAGAGGAAGAGAGCCGGATAAAAGCCATGCTGGCCTAGCTTGGACTTGGACTCCTGGCTAATGTCTAGTCTAGAAATGGAACTTGCCAAACAATAGTAAATCAGAGAGTGTTGTGCACATCTTTACAGAAACCTGCTCCATCAATATCCTGGATCACACTCTCGACAGACGGACCATGTTCAATAGAGTGCAGGACGAGACAAGTTCCTTTCACACTGTAAAGGTGATAGCTCATCTATATACACTCAAGATGATGTCTTTCTTTTATTTGTGATTCTTTTGTACTTATGTACATACTTATTTAAAAGATTTTTTCACACCTTCCTTTCTCTAAAATGCCATCCGAAACAGAAATGGTTACACTCATGCACTAGGTCAAAGACAAGGTTGTTATTTACCAGTGAAAATTTTTCTTTGCACTTCCTTTCTCACCACAATTAAAAAAGAAATAAAATACACATAAAAATTAGAAATGGAGAAATATTTAGTTAATGGAAAATTGTTATTGAATACTGATGCAATGTGTATATGTAAATGTTAGGAATGCTTCTTGTGTGAGAAAGATAAAAGGATTAATCTTCTAAAAAGATGTTCATTTTTCTTAGACACAGTGAATGGATTCAATGGTCCAGGAATCATACAGTCAAATATACTGTATTTTCTGATAAAAGTAATTATTATACAAACCAAGCATAAAAGCTTAAAGATTCTATTAAGTGGGGACTTTTCCTGCACAAGTGGGCATAAACAATCACCTAAAGCCATCTCAAATAATAAAAAATTATGATCTCTTAATGTGTTATTTCTTGACAATATTCTTTCAGCAGAAAATATGCCATATTAAGAAAGTTAAGTTTTCATGTCATAGTGTTGAGTTGATAGAGCTGAAACTAAAAGAATTTCCTTAAAGGACCACACAGGGATGTTCAGCTGTTTCTGCTGGTTGTGTAAGTAATCCAGCCCAATTTTTTGGGTTAACATGTTAGCCACAACAGTTTGATAAGCTGGTTTGTATTTTGAACCTTTTTTCTTAAGTAGTGTTCCACAGTTGCACAGTACATTATGTGTCTACCTACATTGATACACAGATGAAAATGTAATTCTAACTTCCAACTTTTAAACCTTTTACTAAAAGTGTAACTACAACTTTCAGAACTGCTTTCTTTTGACAAATTTAAAAAATGCACGAGAGACCTGCAAAGGACAGTGACTTTAGAGGGTGTAGCCTCGACACCGATCGGAGTGATTAACAGACTGACCACAGCAGCGTAGCAGGAACAGTGAGCTGTTAGTCAGAGGTAAGGAGCAGCTGCTGTCAGACTCTCTTGACAGTCGTTTGTAAAAGTTTCTCTGTGGTAACTGTGTTGTAGCTGAGCTAGTGGCTGTTATGATATAGAGTCACCTCAAACAGCAGACTCTATCTCAGCATTTGTCTTAAAACGTTTAGGGTGATTTAAAAGAGTAGAGGGCATGTTTTAACCCACAAAACGCAGACTTTCACAAATGTGGTAATACTGTCAACACCAGCATTGATGTGTTTCATCACAGTATAGTCATATAAAATAGTTTACAACTCTAAAAACATGTTTTAGGGTGCAGTACCTCTTTAAAACTTGACTTTGGATTTCTATTTAGTTAATATTGAGTTTGACCTCCAAACTGTGAAAGCTGTGAATATGTTATGTCAAAATACAGAATGTGTTGTATTCTGATAAATATGTTACCAACACTCTCACAGCTTTTGAAAGTCGTAGGTTTTAAATGTGTACAAAGTACTGTGAAGCACTTTAACCACAGGACTTTGCATTTCCTGCTTCTCAGTCCTGCATGTGAAACTTATCTTTATGCTCTCAACATGAGAAACCGAGGTTTCCTGTCCAAGGTTGCAAAGAAATCTGCCTGAGATCATGAGAGTGTGCTGCTAAACAGGAAGTGGTCTCAAATAGGTCAGCCAAGTAAGCTTTTTAAATTATTCAGCTTGTAAAAATGGATGTTGCTTGAAAAAACCCTGTAAAAAACAACTGTTGAAAGTTTCTGCAGTGATGGCTGATTAAATGCCCTGACATGGTGGTTTTTAGTGATTCCACTGTCAAAGACCTAAAGCTAAAATCAGCCAATCAGTCTGTGTAAATGTCTAGTATTTTTTGCATATTGTGACACAAAGAACTTCCTTTAAGAAGGAACATCCTCATTCATCTTAAAGGTGTCCTGTGGACCTTTTGACCTCCAGTGCAGTGGTTTCCAACCTGGGGTTCATAACTTTGTCTGCTTAGGTTGTGAGGTTACCAAAATTATTATTTACATTCACATCCACATTTAAATTCATTAAGCTATTTATTACCTATTTAGTGCGTGTATGCGGGTAGGGGTTGGGGTTGGGGGGGCCTGACTTGTCTTGGACACAGGCAAGGGGGGCTTCAAGGAAAAAAGGTTGGGAACCACTGCTCTAGGGGGTTCTGATTTTACACACACACACACACACACACGTGCACACGGGTGCTACATACATTCCTTATTGGTTTCACACTATTCCAGAAAATAAGGCAAGAAAGAAGAAGACTTTTTGCTAAACACTGAATGTACAGCATGCAGGTTTCTAATTTTGTCATTTATGAGGATGGAAATATAATGCGTTTATGTTAGGCTCAGGCTCACTGTATTTAGCATCAGGTGTGCATGACTAATTATTTCTACCTTGAACCTTTGATCTCTTGCATCAATACAAGACCGTCCTCACTGGAGACAAACTGGTAATTTAAAATGACCTTTTCTTGACAGGTAACCTCTATAAACATTTGACTTGTCAGAGCAGGTACAACTGGAATAAACAACATTGATCAATGCTGCATTCTATGTAGGTGAGCCAGTTCCAGGTCTTTGGTATTGGGCAAGTTCTCTCACTGACACGTCAAAATGTCTGCTGTGAAAAGGGTCTATTGTGAATAATGACTGTCCTCCCTCAGTAGCAAGGGGAGAAGTTGCATGACATTAAGACAGCGTTAAAAAAAAAAACCTCAGTGAGGAAGTCAGCTTGGTTGTACAAAGCATATATTGTCAACACCGGAGACTATGTGTCAAAGCTGCATCCCCTTGCCTATGCACAGTCGAGTTTGGTTTCTTTTTACCACAAAGGCAAGTTTTCTGTAAGTCTAACCATGACCATGATCTTTCTCAAACACGTAGTCTTTTTCTCAACGTAACCAGACTTCAACAATAGAGGTAGCAGAGGTTAGGAAGGCACTGACTGTATCACGTAGCTTCTTAAAACTCATCACCGTCTTGAAAATATAAGTAAATTCAGCAATAACATTTAAAGGTGTGTTCAGACTGTGAAGCAAATGTTTTCTTTAACATTGAAAATTATATCTCCACATTTGCAGAATGGACTTTACCACTCCAACTGCATTTGAAATGTCCATCTCCCTTTGTTGTTTCAATTTGAACTGCGAAGATAGTCTTTACCAATTTCTTACAGTGTCAATTGTGGGAACATAGGACCGTGGGAACATAGGGACGAGCCCAAATGGATAATGCAAGGCATACGTTTGGTTCGTATTCTGTCTTGAAACACTTAAGACAATAAAGATAATCACTGACTGTGTGTTGAACAGTGTTTCCTTACCTGAAATGTACATGAGGTCCCCGTGAACTGTTCCAGCATGTCCATAGTGAGGCTCCACCATACTGGTCACAAATGTCCATTCATTTTTCTTCAGGTTGTAGCACTCCACCGTGTCTGATCAAAGGGATATTTGGAGAAATGGTTGGGGTTGAATTTTATTTAAGCCAGCAGCTAAAGAGTTAGATATTTCCTACAGGAGTTGGTAGAGACCAAAAACAGAGCTACAAGCCTCATCAACTTAAAAGGTGATGATGATACATCAATGTTGTGTTCACAACTTGTTTCCACTGCCCTCAAGTTGCCATAAAGATCAGTAATTGTAAGGTTAACTAGTCTGAGCAGCCATTCTTTATGAACTGCATTAATAAATTAAATGATGATGAAAAAGAATTATCAATTGATCTGCTGACAGCAGTAAAAGCAGTACTGACAGCAGTAGCAGAACAAGTATTAGTAGCAGCTCACCAATCTCTCCTGAGGCATTCCTTCCTCCGACTGCATACAGTTTCCCCTTCAGAGCGCTCAGGTGGAAGAAAGTCCTCTTCTCATTGAGCGAAGCAATCTGAAGCCACTTGTCGAAGCGTGGATCGTAGCGGTAGGCACTGTCTATGGCCGTCTTACCCTTGGTATCATAAGTACTCTGGCCTGAGAAGACAAAAGAGAGTGTTAGAGTGCTAAATAAATATTTTTATGAGAGCATTTATTTATGCTTCTAATTTCTTAATATCATTCGGTCATACTTGAGTCTTGATGATGCATGATGACTACCACTTCATCTCCAAGTGGTTTAGCTTAACTTATAAAAATTAAAAATCTTTAATCAAGCAAACTAGGGCTTGGCTCGGATTATGTTTCTGTACACTATGACAGGCTAGTTTGAGGAGCATGCTTCGATTAGGCTCCTATATTGTAGTTTCCATGGACCAAGACTGACATTTAGGTGCACTGACCTCCAACAATAAAGAGGAAACCGCCTAGAAGAGCCACTCCATGCTGGTAACGCGGCACATCCATGGGCTTCAGGGCCCTCCAATGGCCCGAGTTTTCATCATACAGCCTCAACTCCCGGCTCACCACCAGCTGCTGTCGCATCACACCACCAAGTGCCAGAATGTGGGTGGCATCTGAGCGTATCTGCGTCCGCTCAGTTTGCAGAGCTGGCTGCATGAACGGCATCATCTGGTAGTTGCTGGCCTCCAGCAGGAGGTTCACACAGGCCGTCTCAGAGCGCATCATGGAGTCTCCTCCCTCTTCATTGTCCTGGGAGATCTGAATCAGCTCAGTGGGGCTCATCAGTGGGAAGCGAATATGACGCATCACAGCGTACACAGAGGAGCGTCGATTGGGGTGGTCATGGTCCAGCCATCCTCTAGCGATGCGGTAGAGGTCCATCTCAGTGAAACCGTCCAAGGAATTGCTGGCCAGAGCATTGGCCATGGTGGTTTCAGAGAGCTGCAGATAGCGGTCACACTCCACCAATGCTGTTAAGTTCTGGCTCACAAACTCACCTAGAAACAACAAACAGGAAAAACACTGATAATCATGATCCCTCCGTTTGTTTTAGTGATTGAACCAAAAGAATGCCTGTTACACACATTTTTTTGTTTTTTACTGTATGTTAAATAATGGACTGATGGATGGGTAGACTGGTTTGAAAGATCTCCAATACAATAAGCTCTATGCTATTTACACCTTCCACCTCATCTACATTGTTATATAGACTGAAGAAAGACCAGATCAGTCACCTATATTCTGCTTAACATCGTCCAGGATCAAGTCTGTAGCGATGCGCTCCACCTCCACACAGTTATCAATAGTGATCTGCATCGAAGAACACAGAAAGGGAATTGATTAAATGAATACAAATAATGCTCTGCATTGCTTAAGTTCAAGTTCACCTTAATTAATGCACTGCTATCCCTATTTTGCAGCTGTATGCCATGTCTTTTAATCTGTACAGTATAATTGACACTGGGAGAGAGGGCATTAAAGGACAGTGAAGAACTCAAAGGGATCTAGTAGCTTAATGAGCTAGACCTCCAGCATAGCTGAATATAAAAACCTTCCATTAATAAATTAATGCAAAAAAAAAAAAAAAACCTCACCTCACTGCTCAGAAGCTGATTACAGAATCTCAGAACAGGCATGACCTGCAAGAAATTTGCAGCCTCCAATGTATCCTGGAGATTACCCATGTCGAGGCAGACTTTGGATGTGTAAATGAAGTCTATAATGTTCTTTAAACCCAACTTAGTGACCCCATGCAGCTTGATCTCTCTCATCTCCTGCTCCCTCATGCCTCCTGAACAAGCAAAAAAACAAGTACAAAGAGACAAAGACAAGGTGAATGAATGATTTTGCATTGTTTCAGAAGATTTTCAGAAGATTTGTCTTGTGCAGGTATGTTGCCGAAGTGCACAGCCGAAGTGCACAGTCAGCAAGCTGATACTGTAAAGCGTGACAGCTCAGACTTATACAGTGTGAAGATAAAAAAGTACTATAGTTGATCATGGTGTTGAATGCAAATATAGTCGAGCTGCAACAAAAAGTAAGTTTAATGCAGAAGTGAGTAAGAAAGTCCTTCTGCTTTTATTTTACTATTTTTAATACTAATGTAAAGGTGATGTAATATATGGGTAGTAGTGCCATGAAAACAATAAATATGTTGGTACTTTATATTTATTTATATTGTCCCCAGAGGATAGAGTCTACTGACTTTGGTGATCCACTAACATTTCCTGTTGCACCACCAGCAAATTGACATTTCTGGCTTTCAGGGAAATGTCTCTTTTACTGGATGTATTGCAATGAAGTTTGCTACATACTTCATGTTCTCCTCACAATGAATTGTTATCACTGAAGTGATTCATCAATCTATCAACTATCAAATTTGTAATTTGTTTAATACTTTCACACTTAAACCCAAATACCTAAATACATAAAACTAATGACTAATTCAAGTTGTCCACTTTCAACCTAATAAAACAGGACAAATCACCTGTGAACATTGCCTTGAAATAGTCACTGGATGAAGCCATTATGACTCTGTGGACTGGGAAAGTGTCCGTGCTGTCCCCAGGAACCAAGACGACATCACAGAGAGTCTCATCTGCCCGAAAAGTATCAAAGCCCTGTGAGAAAAACAAAGTTTTTCACAAATAGCTCAGCATGTGCATTTCTACAACACATAATCACATCATGATAATGTTGACAAATTGGTGGCCTCCTTATTGTGTTCATGCTGGTGGATTGATGGATAATACCATGTGATATACAACAAACAGGAGGGGGACACTTTCCTTCCAGTGAAAATGCAGTGAGGGCAGCTGTAAGACTTTTTGATTAATGAAATAAAACCACTTCATGACAGGAGGTCTCTTGTGTTAAGCCTAATCATTTGCCAGTGTGCAAATACACTATAAATTGGTGAACAGGGTGATGGAGCACCAACGATGGCAAAGATATGGAGCCATTCAGTTAGTTAGGAAGTCACAAAAATATACCTGCAACACAGCTGTTCCATGTTCAGTGCTACTGAACACTTTGGACAGCGGCCGAGGGGGAAGTTTGGGTTTTGTGGATTTGTCTGGCCGTTTAGGTGGCATTTCCATGGGTGGAGGGAGAGGAGCTGGAGCTGGGGCTGGAGCAGGGGCTGGAGCTGGAGGAGAAAGCCTGTCATCTATCAAACCCAAATGGAGAGCAGACATTTAGAGAGAAGGAGTCATGATACTGTTGTTGCTGCAGGTACATGGAACAGCTAAGCTACTAAAACTCTAAAGACTTTTATGTTTGTTGGATGGTCTTTCTGATGCTTTTACAACTACCAATCAGATATTCTAATATTATATAGAAATGATAGAAGTGTTAGCAACAAAATGTACTTAAAGTGTCCCAAATCAAAGTCTAAAATTCATCATGGATCATTATTCACATACTAAAGCGTAAGTGATAGTTTAATGTTGCAGTTGGTTAAAGTGGAGCTGACTGAACCACTTCATATACAAAGGGTAGTTTAATCTATAACAATGTATCAGATTTTATAACCTAAAGCTGTCAAATAAATGTAGAGGAGTAAAAAGTACTTTAATTTAAATATATTGGAGTAGAAGTATAAAGTATCATAACACGGAAATACTTAAGTCCCCCAAATAATACTTGAGTACAGTTACTGATACTAGTGGTAGTTAATAATTCCTGAATCAGGCTTTTTGTGGTCTCACATATTGCAGTAGTTTACATTTGTTTGGTCTGTGTTGGATACAAACCTCACATGTGTCAATGTCCTCTATTTCTTCTATCAGATGGGATCAGTGATAACAATAGAAACCAAAGCTACAGAGAGACACTGAGCACAAACCTTGTTGAGCAGGCCTGTCTGCCGGAGCAGGAGGTCTTTCAGGAGCTGGAGGTCTCGGAGGATCCCTCTGATGCCTGCTCAGGCGAGACAGTGTGCGGCTCAGCCTCCCTGGCCCGCTGTCATCTCCACTTCCCCTAAAGAGGAGGAGGTGCAGGACACCTGTCATTTTGCCCCCTTAACAAACTGACAGCAGAATCTCCTTGCAGGATTTTGTGACTTGAGTGATGTTCAGAGGTATCAGGCTTCATGGATTATATATTATAAACCTATTATGTACAGTCAATGAATGCAAATGAGGGCAAACGCCTCCTCTTCTAGCTAGATCCACACATAGTACAGCAAGCTTACCAAACACGTGCCAAGATTTATTTTAAAAGTTTCATTAACTGTTTTGGCAGTTTTGTTTCTCAGAACTTCCCTTTTGTATACAAATACCATTTCCTCCAGTTGAACTGGCACATCCTAATGCCTTATACGGCCCAAACCCTCTCCAACCTGAAGCATTTTATTAAATAGAGTATGTTTACTGGAAGCTTCCTCAATGCAGCTTACAAAACTCCCCCATTTATTTATTTATGTTGCTTGTCCTGTGACCTAAAAATGGAGGAACTAGAGAACTGTTTTCAAGTCAACCACTTCTCCTCTTCAACGTGTTTCCTGCCAAGCTACTCTCATACAGTAAGTCCATGTAAATAACAGAAGTAGCCAACAACATTTAAAACACAGGACTGGAACCTGCTGTCACTCTTAAATTGATTGATAGGTGATATACAGAACACCACCAACTAAAGTTTCTGGATGTTTTTACACTGCATTGAATATTTAAGCAGTTATTCATTGGTTTACTTATTGTACACACTTTACAAGTATGCAGGAATCCAAAAGTTCAAGTGTAAATGCATTACACCCATTAAACAATAGTAGGTATTAAAATGAATGCTGTTGAAATATGGTAAAAATGTGCAGTATCAACAATGAAGCCCCCAAAACCCCTTACCCCATTTCATTGGCCTCAGGGGGCTGTGGACTGTTGCGCTGATGAGACTTCCTACATGGAGACAAAATAAGAGCTTTAGTGGACAGAAACAGATTTTATGAGCTACACAGGGTTGTAGTATACAGTGCACTGCTTTTAACCATGAGGGCATCTACAGGAAAGACTTTCTGACCCACATATGCATCTATGCTAATGTAAAAATACCACTTCTTCTGTAAGATGGCTCATCTTTGACCCTATTTTTATCTTCTGCTCATCAGTTTAGTCAGAATTGTCTTATGAAGCCCTCTGTATGTCATTCACCCTGTTTGGATGTTCTCTTTTTCACGATGTGTCAAACTCTGTGATTAACTGTGAGTTGGATGTGGCCTCACTAATTGGCAGACAGTGTTAACTGTGTGAACTTGACTTCAGAACTTTTCTGAATCTTTTTATTTAAACTGTGAAACTTTTCCCCACCAAACAGATTTTATGTCTTATAATATGTACGCCAGGTTTTGTGCCAAGTTTTATTTATGTTTGCTGGACAGTAAAACTTTCATTTTCCACATCCTCCATGTTCCACTCCAATGAGGTGTAGATCAGATTAGCTGTCAGAGGTTTTGTGATTTTTTACATGTTTGTTATTTTGTAAGCACATTCAGTTCCAATCAATATTTAGTACAACTTCAGTATTTTTTTAATTTAGTATAAGTAATGTACAGCAAACACCTGATACGTATCTGGTAGTTAATGTTGGTTTTATATTGGTACTATAAACATACTCAGCACATGTGTAATGTTAATAAAACCTGCATGTAATGCATGTGGTATTCAAAAACTTCATCTATAATAAACAGGCTTTAAAAATGACCAACAATCTTCTTTATGCTCTATAATTTTCTACAACATACCATGTACCACAGTTTTGTTGTTTGTTGTTCCTGTTACAGTTTCTAGTGTTACTCTATAACTGCAGCGCATTGTTGTATGTTATCTTTATTTTTAGGTATGCATTTATATATTATTATACAGTGTATATTTGACAGAACAGCTCAAGAGATGGACAGGAAAGGCGGGGAAAGAGAGGGGATGACACGCAGCAGGCCCGTGGCCACTGCAGCACAATGTGAGCTACCAGGGCGCCCCGTCTTTAAATTTTTTATAGGACCCACAAAGATGTAATTTCTGTGATGCTTGTTGTCCGAGTTACTGATGACAGCATCAAATCAAGATTATATCTCAGAGGGCACTGAGTGTTCTGAAGTCTAATGTATTTTTTTTGGAAAATGTATAATAGTCTTTCTTGATGTTTTACTGCTTTTATTGTAACTAACTGAACTGTCTTCTGTCATCTTCACAATTTTTCACACTCTTCATGTGCAGTGAAAACCTAATGTAAGTAGTAAGAAGTTGATTTTTTCACATATTTTTACTTTTCTGACAACTTTTTACTTTTACACCTATTATTTTTACACAAGTATCTATCATTTCTACTCCTTATAATTTCAAAACAGACTCGTTTTTTCCCCCCAACATCAAGACCAGTGCATATCACACATGACAGTAACATGATAAAAACATTGTAACAAGATGAAACAGAGACAGAGATGTGACTTGAAGTTTAAGTCTGCTTTGCACAGAAACAGCTGGTAGAAATATCTTTCAGAGAACCCAACTGAGTAGTTTTTACTTTTATACTTGTACAAGTACATTTCAGAGATGCTCATGTTCAGTGAGTGAGCACTTATAATTTTACCAGAGTCTTAGTAAATAATGTGTGTACTTTTGCCACCTCCAAATTTGGTGACTTTAAATGGGAATGTTTCTGATAAACTGAAGTATTAAGTGTTTCTTGATAGGTTAAGTAAAACTACCCAGATAGCACGCCCAATATTACTTTAAGTGTAACATTGTCCAACACCCCCTTGGATTAGCTGTCAAATGCATTCTCACAGAGCTAAAAAAAAGAGCTGTTTTTCTGAGCTCATGAAAAGTTGACTTTTTTTTAGATATGTGGTTCTCACAGGAAAAACATATGATGATCTCATAGAATATGATGCATTGCTAAACTACCCAACAGTATATAGTTAAAATTAGCTCAACTGTAAATACCTAGAGCAGTAAAACACAACATATACATGAATGCATTAGTAATATGAATCCAAAAACATCAGATATAATAATAAAACACTGACAAGGACCATTATACTGCACAGTGACTACTTCTACTTTGATACTTTGAGTATATGTTACTGATAGTACTGGCACACTTCTACTTTAGTATGGCTTTGACTGCAGGGCCTTTACATGGAGTTAAGTATTTTTACTGTGTGGTATTAGTAATTTCGAATCAGAACACTTCTTCTATCACTGGATGAAACAAAAGCACATGAATACACAAGCATGAATTTGTGGTACTTTATTGTCACTGCTGAAGCCTCACTTGCAACCGGATCTGAAACATGTATAAAAGGGACACCTGTGGGTGACCTACCTGGAAGAAATCCTCTTCAGCAGACTGGACCCAAGGCTTCCCTCCAGCCTGTTCGTCTAACCGACCAGAACTTCGAGAGGAACACTGAGCAGAAAATGTCTGCTGCACTACGCCGGCTGGTTGAAGAGTTGAAGCATCTGGGTGAACATTGCTGTTTCTTTTGCCTTAACCGAGACCTCAGTCACTTCCTGTGCTACTTCTCTTTCTCACTGTCTGCGCCTTTTGACACTCCCCACCCCAATGTGTCAAACTTGCGATACCGTTAGTGCAGAAAGCAAATAGTTTGACAAGCTGTTTTTAAGCTTTTGAGTATAGTATAAGTATATAGGCCCACTAGCAGGCCTTTGATTATCTACTTGGATAAGACAAGCATGATAGCCCATATTGAGTTTAATGTGTTTTGCTGGAAACATGTAACATACTTAACAAAATCCAGTGCAAAGAATATCAAAAAATTGGTCTTTTGAACTTTTTAAGATGGAAGTTTATAGTTCACTGCTGCTGGTGGGAATCTGACATGTCACTGAAACAATGTACAACCACTGATCAGGTTAGTTTTTCTGTCCTCTTCACTGGAATAATCAGACACAGAGCAGAGTGCATTTTTAATTAACACTGTGGTAATAACAGACTCAGAGCAACAGATCTTCATCACCTCAGCTGGCGTTTATTTAACCACAAGCACTGGCAGCATCTCAAACTGCAGTGTATTGTCATTGTCAGTTGCATTTGTTATAATAAAATTAAATGAAATCCCCTCCAATCCAACAGCAAAAACACTTTCATTACTCATTTGCTAAATCTGCCACCGACCTTCAGCTTTCCCGAGACAGGGTGTCTCTCACACTCTTGCATGAATACATGTTGGATATCAGACATTAAGTCATTTCCAAATTATGGAAGCTGTTTGCATGTTCCATGTTTCCTGACATGATAAAGTCGTGAGTTCTGAGGTGAACGTCTTTCAGTTTGTCATGGTGGAGTCTCAGGCTCTTGTTCAACACTGTTGGTTGGTTCAGTCCTGTTCAGTGGGTACCATTGTTGTCCTCAGTGCTGCCCTCTGCTGGTCTATTAGAGTTTAGAGAACTGAATGAGGTTCCTGTTGATTTCTGCCACGTTCCTGCAACCTGGATCAGATAAATATATAAATTGTTGTTTCAGTAGAGACAGAATATTGCTGTTCTTCTACTTTTGGCAGAAAATATATTAAAAATATTAAAATTAAAAGTTTTCACTTTTCAGTTTCAGTGACTGAACCTCACATCTCTCACCTGATAAAGCCATGGACAGACGGAACTCATCATTTAGGATTTGCAGGACTTCCCTCACTCCTTCTTCACCCTGAAAGATCACACATGACACATAATTACAATAAAAGACAAAATATAATCCTATCTATAAAATCAGTACACATCAGCCTTAGCTTTTAAGACACTATTGTTTCTCCTACTGAAAAAGCTTCATTTATTTACTTTTTTACTGCTTGACAGATAGAGACTGATTTATTCCTTTAAGCTATGATTTTAAATCCCACAGTGACTTCATGGATTTTATTAAGTTCAGACAGCATAACAGCTCTACAAGTTGATAACTGTTTAAATAAAGAATAGTTACCATGTAAACCTTACACCAAGGCCCTAGCTCCAACAGTGTCAATACCCTCCAATAATAAACTTTAACTGTCAAGGACAGTGGCTTAGTATGTGGAGTCTGCACATGTGGATTATAAGCTAAGTAATAATATTTAAATAAAAAAACACCCTAAATGTGGTTATAATCAATCTCAAAACACACAAACACAAGCATAAGCATAAGCACAAGCACACACGGACACAATCACACAGTGACCAGCGTTGTGGTTTGTACCTTATATGCAAGGCCCCACACTGCTGGACGGCCAATGAAAACACACTTGGCTCCCAAGGCCAGCGACTTCAGTACATCACTTCCTGTCCTGATTCCTCCGTCCAGATAGACCTCGATCCTGCCCTGCACTGTGTCCACGATCTCCGACAGCGCGTCAATCTGTTAGCAACAGAGGTGAAAATATAACAAGGCCAATGTACTGTATAGTAACGGTGCACATGCTGGTAAGTGTAGATGTGTTTCTGACTAGGTGTTTCTCCCTTCTGGCGGTGATACAGGTCCCCAGGGTAAAAAGCAACAGGTTTGAAGTTTTGCTTTGCTTTGGTAACTCGCACTGAACCTAGGCTTGACTGCACTGCTAAGCAGCACTTCATGAGGGCTACCATTCCAATTGTTGGATTACTTTTAACAAACAGACAGTTCCCATTGAAGAAACTATACATGACCTGGTTTGACCCCGTATGTTACGACAGACAATTCAACATTTCACTCTTTTGAAAGAGAATTACCAAAGCAATGTTAAACTGCTGTGTTTTTCAAAGATTGATGTTTTTGAGGAACACTGTGGCTACCTCAAAACCAGAGCAAACTCATAGTGTCTACAGCTCAGCTCACAGCTCACTCATCACAGTCAGACACAATAGCACTATGGTTACTACTGGTAACAGTAAAGAAAGTTAGATATTTTGGTAAACATGCTTCATTCTTGCCGTGTGAGAAGATCAATACAACTCTCATGTCTGTATGCTAAATATGAAGCTGAAGCCATGAGCCGGTTAGTTTAACTTCACATCAACTGAAAACCAGCCTGGCTCTGTCCAAAGTTAACAAAACCAGCACCTCTCACTAATCACTCAAACTCACTAATTTAAACATTACATCAAAACTGACTTGTTACGGTTTTACAGGGGGTTATGGCAAACTATTTCATGCACAGCAGTGACTTCCTGGAGTTTCCCCTGGTTGCCTAGCAACCTCAATGGGCCAAGACTTCAGGAAAAGCATAAAAGCGCAACCTGTTGTTTGTTTTTACACTTGAAGATGAAGATATAAGATGTTAAAGACGTGTTCATTAGTGAGATTCAGAGGCGCTGGTACGGTCATTAGAATCATTCTTCTCATCTAACTCTTGGCAAGAGCCTTTTTGATTTTACAACAATGAATCCTGCTACATACTTAGTACTAGTAAGGGAGAGCTCTTACTAGTACTTACTAGAACTTTAATAAGCATACTGCTATTAACACTACTCAAGCCACACCACTAAAGGAGCGAAGCCTGCGAGCTAGTTCAGGCAGTCAACTCGAGCTGCGCTGATTACACACTACACTGCTTAAAATCCAATAATACACCTACCAACGCTTCAATCTGGCGGATCCCCCCCACTATTTAAACTTCGCACAAAATTCCCAGCTCTCCCCTCTGCTCTGTCAAATGCCCTGTAACTCCCCCCACACGCAACGGCACAGCCTGAAAAAACAAACCACCAAAACAGAAAACAAAGAAAAGAAAACAATGTGTCCTTCTGCTACTGCTCTGTAAGCATACTGCTGCCTGCTGCTCTGTACACCGCCCACCCACCAAACCCCACATCCACTTTAGCCTCCGGACTGGGGTTAAGATATTTGCCTCACTCCCAAATATCTCATATGTAAACATATCCTGCGGGGAAAGTGTGACGGTCGAGCCTAGCCAAACATCTAAATATGCTATACTCTCGCGTAATCATTTACAAAACGTGAGTGCGCATGACTGAACTGCTTGGCCTGCTCATTTCTGACTTCTAGCATACACTTGCACCCACGTCCCTCACTACAGTGACATTAGAAACAACATGGTCAGTAGTACCGATGCTCGGGGCCTCCCGTCCAGCTGTCTCCCCCCATGGTCTTGACAAATATTCCTGCGAACATGCCTCCACGGCCAAACTCCGCATCCTCCTTGGTCAGGATCCCCTTGATGATACATACAGGCGAGTGATGGACTGCAGCCAGTACCGTCCTTGCCCAGCTGATGGAGGGTCCAAGTGTTGGCTTGATCCGTACCTCCTCGTGGGACTGCTGTCTCCTGCTTCGATTCATTTTATTTGTATACCGCGCCAAATTCAATAAACGAAAGTATATCTCCCAGACACTTTCAATAGAGCAGTCTAGACTGTACTCTCTTGTAGTTGCGGTTACAAAACTGTTTGTAAGTGTCCACTTGACACTCCACACGTTCTCTGGAATTACTACTGTTGCTTTTAGTTTTACTGATAACTGCTTTAAACTGACTTTAACAGCCTACTGGAAAATACTTATGTGGTTAAGCAATTCTAGCAACTTAAATTAGTCACTGAGATGAGCAACTATTGTATCTGAAGTGAACAATCAGAACTGTAAATATCATGGCCAGGGAAATCTGTAAAAATTATGAGCAGCATCTGACATGTACGACGTGATTAACCAGTACGATCAAGTAATGAAATCATTAGACAGTGAAGTAGCTGAATCAATCTTATGTATCTCGTATTTTTTCTTTGATCCGTCTTGTCTTTGTTTTGTCCTCACTGTTCTTATCTAAGTTTATCTTGTTCAGTCTTATCTTTGTCTTATCTCATTTGATGTCTTCTATTTCTTAAAATTTTGAATAATGTTGAAAAAAACTAAACAAAAAAAACAGTTACCTGGAAGACTCCATCAAAGTTCTTGACCTTGAGGTGTGGTGGCAGCTTGAACTGGTTGCGGATGTCGTTGCGGCGCTTTCCGGTGTAGGGGACGTCGACGGTGAGGACCAGGGCCTTGTAGCCGAGCCCCTCTACACGGTGTACAATCTGTTCTGAAAGCTTCCGATCCCGGTACACATACAGCTGGAACCAGCGGTAACCGTTTGGTGCTGCTGCCACAATCTCCTCCACTGAGCAGGTGGAGTAAGTGCTGGTGATGTAGCATGTGTTGAGTGCCTCTGTGGCTGTAAGGCGGAGGTTGAGAAATGATCAATGCGCTTACTGAAGATTGAAGTCTTCTAAGAAGTTCAGTGTCACAGTAAGCTGTCTCAGACTTTCAGAAATGTAGGAACTGTCTTGGAATTGTCTTCTTGTCACATGACTACCAGTGCCTTTACTTAACAACTGTATAATTTATTTATCATTGAAACATAATTGGCTTTACGTTTATTAGTTGAGGATTAAATTAGCTTCAAAATGATTGTCTGTGCAGATTAAAACACCAATGGAGTACCTTCCGTTCTTTTTTGCACTCCTATGCTCCCATCTAGTGTTGGCAATGTACACTAACACTGTTACTGGATAAAAACCTTCTGTCTCCAAAACACAAACTTGTCAGGAACTCTGAACAACATCTGTGTGTATTATGAAAAGTCTCTTTCGGAAAGAGTTTCATAAGACAGGCAAAAAGCTTTCTCAGCCAATGCAGGAGCTTACAGTATAACCCTTCAAATTAAGTTTAAAACAAAGCCTTTGGATTAACAGAAAGACATTCTGATTTAAGTTTTTTACCTATACTTTACTGCAACTAGGAACAACACTCACTACTCCACATAATGTACACACAGACAGTCCTCACCCCGAGCTGTGGCCACCTCTCCTTCATGCCAGGCCAGACAGTGAAAGGCTGTAGGTGCAATACCAACTGGAAAGCTGATTTCTGTCCCCTGCACTGTGGTCCGTGTGTCACTCACTGACACATCCCGCAGGATACGAGGCCTCAGACGGATCCTAAGTGGGAGGCACAGATGACCATGTTAGGACCAGCTAAAGAAGTAGAGGACATACACTGATCAGCCACAGCCCCATACCAACAAACTGTGATGCACTGTATATTCTGACACCTGCATTAACTGTTTCAGCGGTTTGAGCTACAGTAGCTCGTCTGTTGGATCGGACCACACAGGCCAGCCTTCACTCCCCACGTGCATCAATGAGCCTTGGCCGCCCATGACCCTGTCTCCGGTTGATCGCTTTTCCTTCCTTAAAGCACTTTTGATAGGTACTGACCACTGCAGACCGGGAACACCCCACAAGAGCTGCAGGTTTGGAGATGCTCTGACCCAGTTGTCTAGCCATCACAATGTGGCCCTTGTCAAAGTCGCCAAAATCTTCACGCTGCCCATTTTTCCTGCTTCTAACACATCAACTTTAACGACAAAATGTTCACTTGCTGCCTCATATATCCCACCCACTGATAGGTGCCATGATAACCAGATAATCAGTGATATTCACTTCACCTACCAGTGCTCATAATGTTATGGCTGATCGGTGTAGGATTGGGTAATATACATCTGTAATGATTTATGTACAATGAACAGACACTGATGTTTTGTCTGCTTGTCACTGTTTTTGCCTAATTCAGTGGATTAAATACCTGAGAAAGCGAGGTACATTCTTCAAACATCATACAAAACCAAAGCAGTCAGGCTCATTGATCTGAAACTTTGCCCGTACTGGCGTGATACACCATATATTACAGATATTAAAGTAATAGCTGCAATGCCATGAATAGTATGAAAACAGTTAAAAAGGGCACATCTAGTTTATCACATTATTTAGTCAGCATAGCAAATTTGATTGCATTTGAAATACCACCACCAAAAAAATGTATCTAGCATTTTACTGTAAAATATATATGCACGTGTTCTTTTCTGCTTCATGTTCCCCACTTGACATTACCATGGAACCGAACCAAAGCATTAAACAATCTTACTATCCAGTATTGTCGAATAAAGTCATTCTTTTAAGAGGAATCCTTCTTGAGTTGATACCATGCTGTTTCTTTTTTTGGACTGGTCATATTTCCTTGAATGAGAAGAGACAGAAGACTGTGGAATTCTGTTTTCCCAAAGCTATGACTAGAGACCATCTGTCCAAGACACAGCCCAATCTCTATTCCTGCTGGGGAACATTTCTAAACTGACCCCAAGAGCACCAGCAAACAAATGCCTAGTAACAGGCTTGTTGTAGCAAAAACATATATGTACAGAACCATTACAGTGAGGAAAAGCAGCCTATAAGTCTTTATGGAGACATTAGGAAAGCTAAGAGGAATGTTCTGGTGATATAAAAAAAGATCATGACCTGGATCTTTGTCCCGTTGGTAATGCAACTTTCAGAACAGTTCCTTATTCCCTGCAGGGGGTTGGAGGAACATTGCAGCATCAGTACTGGGTAAAATGCAACTGCCTGTTAATGGTTATAAGGCATCGCAACCACACATACTGTACAGTATATTCAGAAATCAGGTACAGCAGTCAAAGGTCCACAAAAGATTTAATTCATGGCTTCTTAACAGGCTGCGTCCACATGTGAACTTCAGTTCTATATTGCTACACATGTTGTACAACAACAGCACGTGTGTAGTCGTAAATGTAATGAAACATACTGTTTAATCTCTGTGCTGTCTGCAGATAAAGGCTGTCATGTTAAACACTATTGAGGCGCTTATATTGTGTATCTGTGATGACCTTGAATGTCTGGGTGAACTTTATTTTCCCCACTGTACCTTTTGTAAGCCAGTAGATTGTCGTCCCTGGTGCAGCATTCGTCCGCTCCAGCTGCATAGTAATCCCAGGTGGCCTTTGAGAGATGCTCCTTAGCATACTCCTCAAAGTCTGTCAGGCATACCATAGCCATCTCTGCACAGCGACCTCCCTCTCTGCGGGGGACAGCGGCCATCAGTTTTCAATTTGACACTTGTGGATTTCAGCATGTACAATACAACAGCAGAATAGGAATGAGGTAGATCTCACCGAATAATCGAAACATATTCAGGTCATTTTACCACATGTGCACACTGTATGAATAATAATTGACTGAAAATAAAGAACTTCAGCATTCAGAATCTCTCTTAATGCTAAACACTGCTGACTTGGTTAAACATAATTAGTTATTTATTTCCAGTCTTTACCACAACCAGCCATTTCTCATATTTTCACCCATCCAATGTCATCTGGAATCTGGATTTGTTGCTTTGCATGTGAGACAAATAACTGCAGGCACCAACAGCAAACAGACACTTAAAGCTCAAAATGAAAAAATACTCTACATTGCAAGAGCTTACAGCTTCGAGACTTACCACAAATGATTGATCTTTCAAAAACAAAAGCCCTCACTCTCACATGACACAGCCTCCGTGAAGGACTGGAGTTGCAACATCACTGCTCAAGCTGAAACGGCCCACCTATCAGCGAATGAAGTGCAACTACGCAGTCAACCGCCAAGCTCACACACTTTGACATCTGAGCAAGTAAAAGGACTGTTTTACTTTTGCTGTTTGGTTTAAAACAGAGATGAATCCTTGTGTCCACACTGCTGCTTTTGTGTCAGAGTCAAACTTTAACAGAGCCACTATAAAAGCCACTGACAGTGTACATGACCTGTGGGCGACCCTTGCTCTTATTGTGTTTACACAAGCTGGAAATGTGCTGATGGTGACTCCAACTATAGTGAGGACAAGAGGCGTCTGACACAGTGCTCTGTGGTCCAGATGGTACATAACAGTAGTACATATGGGCATACATGTTCACATGCTGTATGCACAGGCCTACATGCTAACACACACAGTACATATTTACCTCGCAACTCCTCTTTCACTAATCTCACATTAGTAAATCATCTGTTTTTATAAGCTGATAGAGAACAATGAGTTCAATTGGAATAAAGTCCGAATGAATGCATAAATAAAAAGGTAATCATTAACCACACTCATGCACACATGCAGATGGTGAAACTGCTGCTCATGCAAAACAGCTGGAGAACATTAGGTCAGGACTACCTAGATGTGGAAGAAGTATCCTTATTGAAGTAAACAGTGAAATGTAGAGATACTCCATTACAAATAATCTTATAAGTAGAAACTACATGTGTCAAATAAACGTTTGGAGACAAAAGTACAAGTTAAGTAGAAGTATACATAACACTGAAAAAAAGTCATTAAAAGTTAATATTTTCAGGCCTAGAAAAATTTAAAATAAAAATATAACAATTAGGGCTGCAACTAAATTTAACTGTCATCAATGATTCATTTATCAATCATTTTCTTGATTAATTGATTAGCTGTTGGTCCAGAAAAGGTTTGAAAGTGGTGAAAAATCAGTGTTTCCCAAAGCCAAGTCTTGCTTTGTCCACAACCCCAAAATATTCAGTTTACTGTCATAGAGGACGGAAAATATGGACATTTGAGATCAGAGAATTTGGACATTCTCTCAAAATGTTCATTTTCTGTCTCAAAATGATTAATTTAACAGTTGACAACTGATCTTTAATCAACCTTTAATTGTTGCAGCTCTAAAACAAAGCAAGTTTCCCTCAGCTTTTAAGTGAAAAAAAATATAGAAGTTGAATTACATAAACATGGAAAACATTCAAATGAATATATCATTTTACCGGCGTTTATCAGGGGTCGGATGGGTGGGTTTTATCAGACCTATGAACCACAGACTGTGGGACAAATATGAATATGTAGCCTATTATGAGTTAAGATAAAAGTTGTGTACGACCATGGTTACAAGCGAAGGCTGGCGTTTATTTGACGTGAAACTAGCTTGTTAAACTCGGCGTTTATTAAACCAGTGTTTGAGACATTGAGGTTAACTTACAGGTTCAGTTGATTTACGCCATATCGTCGACGTCGCAGGTGGGCAACGCGACGTGTAAAACGTGAAAGACGACGTTTAGTTAGCCAGAAGTTGTCATAATTAGCTTAGCATCATAACAACGAGGGATTAAAGCTGTCTGAGTTTTGGTACAGGTGGTGCCTTCAGGGCCAGGGTGTTTCAGGTCATGGCACATTTTAACACCCCAGTAAGTTACTTTTAAGCTCACTTACATTTTGGTCTGACTTTTATGTTATGTACTGTTTTAGTCTACAAACATGATGTAGAAATGCAACATCATATAAGCAAACCATTTACAAAAGCATATAAAGCAACGTCCTTTTTTAATATCACTTTCCTAGCAAACATGGTCCAACGATTTCCCGACTTGTTAAATATATGTGTACTCAACTTTATGTTAAAAATACAACCTCACAAATTGAATTCAAAGGCAGCCTGCCTAATCCACACTGTAAGTGAATACTACACAGTCTGTAGCCTACTATTCATTTCATGGTACTCTGTTTTGACAGATCTAACAAGACCTCAAGGATTTCAGTGTGCCAGCGATTTTGGAAAGCCACTGCCAACTAGTGCTGAATAATGAAGAGTGAGTAAACCACCCTCAAATACCTTATGTTCCTGATCACATCCTTATCACAGTACAAAATTAGTTTAAATTTTTTCCTGGGAGAAACTTCTTGGATAAACCTAACTATTCCTCAAATAAGATCATAGTAAGACTGCAAATAATTGGTTGAACATTAATCAACAACAATTTTGTGAATGAATTAATCGTTTGATTGATATACCTGTTAATATTGCTAAATATTTTATAGTTTTTTTTACTTCAAAAATGTAATCTGATACAATTACTAATTACCTTTAAAAAAAACATAGTCAGTAACCTAATCTAGATATCACAATAATAAAGTCTCAATACCAAATATGCAAATAAAGAAAATAAATATCTATAAGATAATGTGTGAGCTATTCTATAAAACAACAGAACAATGTAACCTTAGAAAAGGAAATGGAGGCCAGGATTTTTAGCATCAAATTGTGTCCTCTGCTCGGTCTATTTTTAAAGGAAAACTTACTTTCGTGAAGCAAACTCAGGCAGTAATCGATCAAACGTTTTCACAGCTGGAAGGCAGAACTTAAACTGCAGGGTACTGGGATGTTGTTCCCTTTTCTGCCCTTTTCTGCCTTAAAGACGAAACAATGGTGAAATTTCCACCCAGAGCATTGTTTTGACTAGAGGCCATGATAATAAATTATTAACTGTAAGATTAGCTATAGTTTCACTTGAGACCAGAGTGGTGGTATTGTGTGCACTGTGCATGTAGATGGTAGTGTATCATTATTTATGTATAAATGTATTTTAAAATTTGAATCCTGCAAATAATCCCAGTTTTTACTCTTTTTCTGTATTCTGACTATGTAACTTCGTTATATGTAAGCAGTTACCCCCGAAGCCTGTTGTAAATTGAATATTTTTGGGTTTTAGACCAAACAATCTTAAAAAATCTATAATTTGAAGTGTGAATAAAGTGTTGTGTTATAATATCATTCAGTTCAATTCACAAAAAACTAATACAAATACAAATAATGATTAAAACAGTGTGGTGCCTCAAGCATGTTAACCACTTAACTTTGAATAATTTTAATCTAACAAATTAATAATCAAAAAAGAATTGATAAGAAAATGTAAATTAAGTGCTAAATGAAAAAACTGTACTACTCATTTCATGAAAACTACATCATTTTAAAATAGATTAAAACTCAATATAATTATTAGTAAGAAGGTATATAGAAAATAAAGAATGGTATGGAACAACTGACAATATATCTTTTAGTAATTAATGATTGAACACACAGACGGTCCAGTGTGTGAACAGGCAGCAAAGAGATGATGGTTTTATGTTGCGTTTTGCCTCTGTTCAGTTTAGTTTACTCACCGATTACAAATGTTCATTCTCTCTCAGCGGAACTTCTTCTCTTCTGACAGATTCATAACCTGTGAACAGTCCACAGCAACATAATGCACATGGGTTACCATTACTGCTGCTGACAATACTGATACTACTACTGTAACCACTGCCACTCTCACTGCCATTCACAGTAAACTGATACTACAACTCTACAACTACCACAAATCCTATGCCACAAATAGTGATACCAATACTACTACAATTCCAATACTGCTATGTAGATACTAATACATGATACTACAACGTAATACTTATTTGTGTTATGCTACTACTTACATTAATACTGACATTTATACTGAACTACTGCTTTTACTTTTCTTTCTACAATGAAGATTACTACTACTATCAGTACTACTTTCAGCTTGTGAATATTAAAATCACCAATTCTGTTCTCATCATCATTATTTTTAGATTTATTTATGGATTTATACAACCGGAACAATATAAATAATATAAAAAATAACAACAAAGTACTGCCTCAGGCTTTCCATAATGCAGGCTTGAGGACTAAAGAGGACGGAGCTGTCAGTGTGTCCATACTGTGGAACGACCTGAGAGAATGTAATACTTGCAAACTCAGTATCATCTTTTAGGTCGTTCTTTAAAGCTCACTTTTAATCTGGCAAACATACGCATGAGTCTGAGGTTGTGTGTGTATCAGTGTATTTTATACAGTAGGCATGTAGTATGTGGGGATGTACGTGTACATATGTGCATTTGCTATTTTATTTTAGCCTTTGTTCTTCCTATTTGGTCTAAAGTTTTTACTATTTTTTTTACATTTATTTTACCACGCCTGCCCTCTGTAAAACACTTTGTAATTGCTGATATTGCTTTCTACGACTTACTGAAACTAGTAGTATTACAGTTACAACAGCTACTGCTACCTACAATAACACAGTGGAGAAAGACAGACATGGTCATAGTGTACTTTATTAATGATCCCTGTATTTAAATGAAACCTGGACATTTGTGTTTGTCTCCTTACAGTGAACAAAGTGTCCTTTTATTAGACATAGTAAATAGTGCATACAAATATCCTCAAGCTGTAAACCCTTTCTAGTATAAACACTACAGTATAAGCTTTCAACTGTGAACACTTGAGGGCAGTACAATACTGAATGAAAGTGCATTCTTAAAGCTCCATTCAGCATCTGTAAAGCAGGTAAACACAAGTGGACTTTCAGTGTGAGTACTGCACACTACACACTCAGTGTCTCTATAGAAAAACTATAAATGACCTCTGATGTCACACTTACTGTTGTAAACACAATGTCCCACTACACACCATACATACCTGTTTCCTGATTTGTGTGGGCTTTGTAAGGTTCAACTATGTGTTTGAGGCAATATTTAAAAGTTTTACTTTACATGTGAGCTCAAGTTATAATAGTTATAATTATAGAAAAGGAACTTAATCTATCTAGAATAATATATTCTGCTCAATAACATCTGCACTGTCTTATAGATAATTTAGTGGAAAGGCTTTTTGTTTTCTGTCACTTTTAATTCATAAAATACAGTAATTTTTATAAATGTTTATATATACCACCAGGCAGTAATGCTTTTTCTTACCAGAATATAATTGTTATCTACTGTAGGTGTATTTTTTTCCACTGTGGCTGGATGTGTGTGATGAATGTGAGCCTCTGTCATGTGTAGGCTGTGAGAGATGTTGCTCATTTAGACCCACTGAATGGCTGCTGAGAGCACATTGTCTAGGTGAATTTCTAGAATACTTGGTGTATGTTATTTAGTGTTCAGTGCTAAACAAGGTGAATATTTAACCAGCTTCTGTTATAGATTATTTGTGTTTGTCCTGCTTAGGTTAGGAGTGTTGCTCATCACCAGCAGATAAACACATCCTGACATCTTGTTGTTAATTTATCTGGTGGAAAAACTCTTGGTGTCTATTGGGTAGCCGGTAAACAATTGAAAAAGTATCTCTCGCTCTTATCCCATAAAGTTCAGACAGTGTAAATGAATACAGTTACTGATGAAATGGATAAAATCAGTGTCTTACCTTAATCTGAGCTATTGGGGTGGTCTACAGTACGTGTTGGTTCCACTCTCATTTGACAGGGTCGTGTCAGAGGGCAGTCCAGCCCCCCCAGTCCGACCTCCCACCCCACCCCTCTCCCCCCCTCACAGTGCGATGCTCCGCCCACAGTGGCTTAACACTAGCTAAGCCTTCCGTCAGCACTCTGGGCCTCGGCCCGGCCTCTCTGTGTGCCAAAAAACACCAAAAGCTCACCCAGATCAATTGTTTGTAGGAGCAACAAACACCTTCCATTCTCCTTCTGTCCTTTGTTTCTTCTTTCCTTCCTAACTTTCATCCTTCCTCTCTTTTATCTTCTTTCCTTCTCTCATTTGTTCCATCTCCCTTCATTTCCTCCCTTGCTTCATTTTTCCTTCCTTTTTGTCTTTATTCACAACATCGCAACATGATTTAGATTTTCTTTCTTTCCGGCCTTTACTCTTTCCTATTTAAATTCTTTCCTCCTTCCTGTTACTCTGTCCTTACCTCTTTTAATCTCTCCCTTTTCCCCTTTCTCGTTTTCTTCTCTTCCTGCAAACTTTTCGGCCTTTCCTCCCTGTGTTCTTAATATTTTTGAATGTCTTTGCGTGTGTGTTGTCGGTGACTTTGTCTAAGAGAGTCAATCAGTGTCTGACTGTGTTTTAGCGTGTGCATATCTTTGTGAAATTATTGTACCAAAGCTAAATGAATGACCTATCCTAGTTCATAGTTAATCTGCATTGCACAAGCAAATATAAAACAGCTAAACACTAATTTACAGTGGCCCGAAGAACTCAACACACTGCAACTTAAGAAAACCCTCTCAAATAGACAAAGCACAAGTGAATTAACAAAACATCCTCACCAATTTGACAACACAAAAATCACAACCAAATACAGGAAATACAAAAAAACACCACCAAATACAGACACACTGCAATTAGCACAGATGACAGTGTAAAAAGTGAGGTACAGCCGTGTATATAACTTCTGTAACTCTAACAGTCCTTTGTTTCCTTTGTCATCAGTGCTACGCGCAGCATTTCTCTAACAGGTTGTGTTTCCTCATTTTGTAGCATGTTTGAGTATTTGCAGGTATTGTCTTTGTCCTTAGAGCTTTTTACAGTGTAAATGCCCGACACTTGTATTTCATTTACATTTTAGTCATGTCACTCACAGATCACTGTATTAAAGAGTCTTAAAGTAACAGACGTGTTCTAACTCTGCTCACATGTTAGAGACAAAGGATGGAAAACAAACAAACAAGAACTTTGTGAGGTGCCAGGGCTCTTTATGGAAATGTCAAACTTGTCAAATGAAGTGTGGACTCTGACAGGTGTTTTGAGGGTCTTTTCATATAAAACACAGATGTCCCAACCTTTGATATGATGAGCTTGTTATGTTAGGGTCCCCACCCGTAAGTGATGGATTGATGGCAGGATGTGAAAGAAAATGGTATGAATGCCACAGTGTCTCAGCTCACCGCGGACGAAACAAAACGCCCCGAGAAGTTGTTCAAGCATTTTAAAACAGCAGTGGGGTTCAGTGATGTTAAATTAGATTCTCTCGCTCTTATTTCATTACGGCTTTCGAATTGAATTTACTCTTTGTAAATGTAATGTCTTCTGTAACAGAACCTGGCTTCTTGAGAGATGCCTGTCTTTCTGTGTGTGTGTCTCTGAATTATGTCTTTTATTTTGGCTTTAACAAGAAAGGCTGTGAAGGTGGAGCCAAAGGCTAAATCTGATGAGTTGGACCTCCATGGGGAGGTGTGGGTGTTACCTGCACCGAGAGGAGGTGCAAATTGTGTTAATCCACAGCTGGCCTAGATGCCTAATACCACAGAGTTAGATCTGGCTTCGGGGCCGCCGTATTGGAGGTACTGGACGTTCAGCTGAGTGGAAAACCTCTTCCACATGCTGGTTGAGGCTCTGCCCCGAGGCTGCAGCCCAGCACGCCGCAGCACATGTGTGTTGAATTGTCAAGGTGTTATCATGCCCTGGCGAGGCTCTGAGCTCCTCCACCTCTGTCTCTCCCAGGTTTATTATCAGACTAAATACAGCAGAGCCCACGGACACGGGCCGCAAATTCATGCAGCCTCTCTGCAGCGAGGCCTAACCTGATGGCTGTCCATCACGGTTTTAACTCTTCACACACAGGCCAGAGAAAGACGTTGGGATTTCATTCATGTATTTATTTGTTTGTTTTTTTTTAGGTGGAAAAAACTGTGGGCCTGACTCAATTAAAAGCTGTTTTTGAGCCAGTTTCCTGCTTTCCCACACAAGTTAGGACAAAGGAGCATTAAAATATCACAACGGCTAAACAAGAAAAACAGTAAACAACAAAAGTAACAGGTTGAAACGGCCAGGGACCAATTAACAGAACAGGTGGTCTCAGGATAGATGGATACATATTTAAATGTGTGATTATGTGGGCTACATAAATAGAAATGACCTCACTTGAGTTGATATAAGAGGTAAAAAGTATTTTATTAAATGAATGGCACAGGCAAAAAGAGAAACACTATTCACAGGATTTCAACAGCTGAGATAAATGGTTGAAATGATTGAATAAAATGAATTGTTGTTGCAATGTATTCTAAATCATTTTCATGTGTTTGAGTTATATGAATTGGGGAGCCTGATGTTTTTGTTAGTCTCGTAAATCCTATAAATTAGGGCACACTTATGTCTGTGTGGCATTGTTGCTTGAAGAGGATAGTTCAAAAAATGTCCAAGGAAAAACATTTATCGTCTTCAGCCTTTCACACCTAAACAAAAAAATAACAATTTGCACAAGTTATCAACTTTCTTGGAGTTATTGCCATGACCGCATAAAATGTTCTTAAAACGAGTTAAATTGGATTGAAATTGCTGTCAGATATTATCAAACCACTGGCTGATTCTTTTTTAGTCAGAAAAAATTGACTGGCTAAAAATGTACATGGAAATTTGATTATGAGGAAGAATTTGAAAATATCCAGAAGTTATAGACTCTTTTATTTAGTCAAAGTAGAGTTTTTAAAGCCAGAATTATAAAATAATTGTAGTTTTAAATTTTTAAAAAACGTTTTGTGCAGGAGCTGCCTTATATATCGGGGAATATGTAGCTGCAGTATCTCTTTGTCTCAGTGGAAAGCATTGTTCCGAGTGCCAAAGCAAAGGCAAAGGAGCGAACACATCAGTGGCTGTAAATGTCATGTAGCGGCTGAGTGATGGATGTCCAGAGCATTTGATGTCTGGGAGAGATCTGAGCATAACTCACAGTCCATTGTCACGCCATTTCAGACCCTTATGATTCAATCCATGCATGGGCAGCGGACGATCTACCAAGGGGCGGTGGTGTGTATTATTTGTGCTCAGTTTTTTCCCTTAGACGAGGGAGGCGCATGTCATAATTTGTGTGAGCGATTTATTCCTCCCTGAAGCGTGCTTGGAGCTATGAAAACTCAACTGTGAACTCTTCTGTGAGTACATTAAAGCACTAACTTTCACTTGGGTTTTCCGTGCAGCACATAAACGCTGTTTCCTCCTCAGTGCTACTTTTTGTAGTCTTTGTAGCTTTTTTGAGTGTTCTCTTTATTGATGTGTCCATAAATTGTTTGGAGCTCTGTCCTGTGAAGTTATGTAAAAAGGAACCTGAAGACTTCAAATGGAAATGCTTCATGCACAAGTCGGAGTACTGAGTCTGTGTTTTCCAGGAGAGGGTTAGTTGGACATGACATGAAATAGGAAGTAAAGCAGCTTGTTGAAAAGTAAGAGTGAAGGAGAGTGTGATGAGAGGAGACATTTAACTCATTTCAATTAACTTTTATTTAATCCCTTAAGAATGTGTTTTCTCTCTTTAACTATAAAGTTATTTTAGTTGCTGAAAGGTGAATTCTTGCTTATTGTTTAACATGAAAAACACACAAATTTGACCAATCATAGCATTCAGTTGAGCCATACGCCAAACTACAAGTGATTTTATTAATGCCTTTAATTTATAATGAATGAAAAAAATCACAACTATTTTTGTAATTTTCACTATTTCAAAAAATTTGCAACATTCATCCTATTTGTTTTTTTGTTTTTTTTAAATCTGCTGTGAAATTTGGCATTTAGGCTACAACAAACTCCAAAAAAGCCTGTGAAATCTTGGAGGGACTGAAAGATACCTATCTTACCTAAATGACCTCCTCTGTTTAACTTTTTTGTACATGTTGATGCGAGCAAATCTGCCTGGTTGTGTGGTTGCATGTGTGTAGTCACATTTTGTGGTTAGTTTTGTATAAAAGATTAATCAGCTTTAAGGTGGCTCACTCATCAACCCATAAAGTGCAGCATCAGACCAATAATGTCTTAGGAAATCCCAAAATGCAATGCTTTTATACTTTTATACCCTGCATGTCATCATAGGCTTTAGTTCTTGACGTTTAAAGAGGAGCAGAGTTTTGACAGGCTCGGCGAAATCTGGCGACAGACTACAAAAAGTCAGGACAGTTGGCAGTTCTTTGTGTTGTTACAATTTACTGTCATCTCCTATTAACACTGAATGATGTCTAGTTTGTCATCTATTACTAATCTAAATGCTGCATCAGAACATATCGAAAATGGCCTGAGGAAAAGTGTGTGTGATGCTTCATAGCTGTCCACCACAGACAGCTGGTTGTACTGAGTAGCAACACTTCTTCATTGCATTGCTTGACTGACAGCGGTTATTAGAAGAACACTTCTCTTTTCACCTCCTGGAAACACATTCCTCCCTGAAACACTTCTCCAATCAAGTGTCGACTCCGCCAATCCGTTTTGTAGAGCAGTAGAAGGATGTCTGTGTTTTAATTTCTTAATTTCAACTTCCCACATTAAGGCACACACTGCCTTGTACAGACGGCTACAACAATATGCCATTGTAAAGATTTGTTCGTAGGAAAATGTCAGCATGCAAAAATGTGAATGTGGATCTGCCAGACATCTGATTTGAAAATACTTAAAGTCATGAGGAGGACCACATCTGGGTTGTCACAGTATGAAATGGCTTTAAATACTATTGTAGTAGACAAGATTTTATTTCTCCCGTCAACAAGAGGTGTTTTTCTGTTTTTGGATATT